GCAAGGACCTATTGCACCATTGAGTGCACATGAGATGGGATAGCTTCAGGCATGTTGCAACAGCTCGGGCCCGAAATCCCTAAGACCTAGCAAGCCCCATATAAAGACCGTAAACCCTAGAAACTCCAGCAACCCTGGAAACCCTCCAAGCCCTACAAACCCCGGACCCTCAACAGCGTGAATCCTCGTAGAGCTCATTTTGCCCTGTTCAGCAGTAAGAGCAGCCAAGGCAAGCCCGCATCTTCACCATCGACCCATGGCTGGAAGACAACAGCAGCAAGCCCGTCAAAGGCAGTATTTCGTTCCACTCGGCTGCGCAGACTCTAGACAGGATCTTGGCACCTCTGTCTGTTTGTTAAAGCCCTAAGGGCCCATGTATGTACATACATAGTATGTACCTGGGCCCTCAAGCTACTTGGCCCAAGTATAGACTACATGCGATGGACCCTTAGGGTTTTGTTTGAAAGCAAACTGGCGATGAAGAGGGCGTTCTTTTGGGAATAGCATGTCGGCCTACAGGCCAACCTAGAACCCCGAACCCTAGGGTTTAGGGTTTAGGGTTTAGGGTTCAGGGTACACCCTAAACCGTACTTTGCATGACTTTACAGCCTGATGACCTTCGAACTTCGGAGCGCCGTGCTGGCCAGCAACCCCAGACGCTAAACCCTAAACCCTAGCCAGGCATGTTGGTAACAGGGGGCTGGCTGAATCGAGTGATGTGGGCCTTTTGTCAAACCTAGTTGATCCCCTTTTGTTAAATCTAGTCGATCCTGCCAGTACTAGCACGTTTCAGGATATGCTTTTGCACGGCGAGTTTCTCGAAGCGGCCCCTAAGCCCCCGAGGACTCAAACCCAAAACCCCTAAATCTCCTAACGCCCCCGAAGCCCCTCTGCCCCTGAACCCCTAAACCCTGAAGCTCAAGCCCTAAAACGCCTAAAACCCTACAGCCCCAAATCCGAAACCTACCCTAAAGCCCTAGAATCTCGACCCTGAAGCTCTAAGCCCCTAACGCGTAAACCTTTTCGCCTCTGCACCCCCCCCCCCCCCACCCAAAAAAACTATTAGGGTTTAGGGTTTAGGGCTTAGGGCTTAGGGCTTAGGGCTTAGGGCTTAGGGCTTAGGGTTTGGGATTTTTCACGTAACCCCCAAACCAAGCAAGGATGCAAGCACGGCGATCTCTAGAACCCTGGAGCAGTCGAGTGTCAATCCTCCAAATGACTGCGGACACCTGACAGTTCTTGAGTAGGGAAGGTTGTTTTTCTTTCTGTCAGGGTTTAGGGTGTATATAGGTTTAGGGTTTAGGGGATAGGGTGTACGGTTTATTTTTTTGTTGCTTTTTTGTTATGTGCTATGACTTGCATGATTATGATTACGAGTGTCATGTGTAGGGGGCTTGCGGGTTTAGCTGGTTCCTTTCTTCAGGGTCCATAGAAAGTGCATGTTCCTTGCTGTACTGGTTCCTGGTCGGAATGAAGGTCCCCGTCTTTTCCTTACTAGAGGGGGTTGTAGTATGGAGGGGGATAAAGGGTACCGATTTCCCTAACTCCCTGCTAAGAACTGAGAAGTTTCAGGAATTCCAAAAGCAGAAACCGAAGGACAAAGCTGCCCAGCTTTTGGCGGATTCCGCTTTTGACGCTCGGCTCCCTCAGCTTTAGGGGGCCTTAGGTTTTAGGGTTTAGGGTTTAGGGTTTAGGGTTAGGGGTTGGGGGGTTTATGGGTACGCCGGGGCAGCCTGAACTTTCCACTTTGGGGTTTAGGCTTTAGGCTTTAGGCTTTAGGCTTTAGGCTTTAGGCTTTATGCTTTAGGCTTGAGGCTTTAGTCTTTAGGCTTTAGGCTTTTGGGTTTTGGGTTTTGGGTTTAGGGTTTATGGTAAAGACCCAGAACTCAAAACGGCTTTAAACAAATACCGCAGATCCCCATGTAATTGTTTTGAAGCCAAGAGCCCCAAGCTGTAAATCCCAAACCCTAAACGCTTAGCTCTTAACCCAAAACCCAAACCCAAACCCTAAACACCCCCACCTTAGGGAAGAACTCCAAGACAGGTGACAATTTCCCTTGCCCACAAAACCCTAAAGAACTACTCGGAGATTCATGGCACTTATTATCCAATTGTAGTTGCACTTATAACCCACTTAAAGCCCCTAAATGCGCTAGCATGGTTATAGGTACCGTTAAGAAGTACAGTTATACTTGGTTAATAAATACCATGAACCTCCATGTATACTATTTTTTTGGGGGGGGGGGGGGGGAATACCCTAAACCCTAAACCCTTATAATGTCTCCACCTCTTGTGGTTGCCTTGGCAAGGACCTGGTCTTCCTCGACGGCGGTCATTATCGCGAGCTCGATGTCCCTATCTTCTGGCGACTTGAGCCAGGGGGGGTGGGACGAAGCGTTTTTGTTGGTATTCCGTTTAGGGTTTAGGGTTTAGGATTTAGGGTTTAGGGTTTAGGGTTTAGGCTTATACTTCCAGGGGCCCAACTCTTCAGGAAGCACCTGCTTGTGTAGGGTTACGTCTGACAGAAAGTCAGGTTCTTGTGATGGTATATCTGCAATCAGCAATATCGTGCCCACACGAGTTTTGGGCTTAGGGCTTCAGGCTTCTGGAATTCGATTCCTCTGCCTCCCTAAGCGCCGCCCTTAAGCACGACATAAGCCATGATTCCTCTTCCGGTTCACAGCCCTATACTTCCAGGGACGCAAGATGTGGGTGGCTATTTCCCAAAACAGGGGCACCCCTTTTACACCCCAAATAGAATCGAACCCCCTTGAAGGGACACTAAAACGGGTACCCCTGTTTTCGGAAACCCCCCCCCAGGTTACTGCAGCCCTTCCGAAAGCAACAGTTTCTGCGGGTAGGAAGGTTAGGGCCTCGCGCTACAATCCGCAAAGCCCAGGCCAAAGGTTCGTCCGGGTGGGATCCTCTGTGGGCATGACCTGCCGATAAGTCCGGCCTATTTGCAGGCCGGACCTCGTGAGCTCAATGGTTGAGGTGTGGTTTCAAGATGTATCTGTAGTAACTCTTTTCTTGAAAAGGGCATGAGCGTTTTGTTGTGGAAAATGTTTGGTTGCCACTTGGAAGTACATGGCGACCCTCGAGCACGGTTTAGGTTGTTACCTGTAGGCGTTTCGGTCGCTACATGTAGGAGTGTGGCTCGGAGTCTATCCTGCCGCAGTGTTTCCGGGTTCTTGCGCGGGTGCACGGGCTTTATGGTTTACAGCACAGTGGGGAGTAGGCGAGAAGCGCTTGTGATGTGGGAGCCCTTGTTGCAGGCCGTCCTGGCACATGTCCCCAAGGGCAAGACGCTCGATGTGGGTCCAGACTGGATGTGGTGGTTCGAAGTCTGAGCTGGCGTCCCCTTAAGGGTCTAGGGTTTAGGGTTTAGGGTTTTAGGGTTTAGGGTTTAGGGTTTAGGGTTTAGGGTTCGAGGCGTGACTTCCGGCTGGACAGCCAAGATGGCGTTTGGCTGACAGAAAGCCCCCAGAACCCCAAACCTTGAATCCCTGAACCATAGCTTCACTACACAAACCCTAAACCCTAAACCCTAAACCCTAAACCCTAAACCCTAAACCCTAAACCCTAAACCCTAAACCCTAAACCCTAAACCCTAAACCCTAAACCCTAAACCCTAAACCCTAAACCCTAAACCCTAAACCCTAAACCCTAAACCCTACCCTAAACCCCCCTAACCCCCCCCCCCCCCCCCCCCCCTGGAACTCCCCTTCGCTCGCAGCAAAGAAAGAACCCGCGCGCCGGTTCAAAAACAATGTGCGAAGTCAAGCTGGAGCATCTGGGGCAGGGGAGTTCCGGAGGGGCGCCCCTAAACCCTAAGCCCTAAACCCTAAGCCCTAAACCCTAACCCTAAACCCTAAACCCTAAACCCGAAACCCGGGTGTGTAGGGTGTACAGGCCCGAAGGGTGCATGCACCTTCTCGGATGCCCAGTAGTGCCCTTATTCCCTTTTTGGGGGGTTTTAGGCTCCCTTGAGAACCCCTGTAAGCCTGTAAGCAAAAAAGGCTCCCTTTTTTTTATCCTAGGATGTTGGGCAACCTAGCCTATAGAGTATACTACTATATGGAGCCCCTTCAAGGCCCCAGTAGATACTATTGCTGGCACATGGACCCTTGGGGAGGGTGTAGGGTTTAGTGCTCGATTCTCTTCGTTTCATGGTGATGTTCCTAACCCTAAAATCCCTGTAGACCCGACCCCACATCCCACAACTGTGTCATAGTGGGGTAACATTTTCCAATTTTCCAGGGTACTTAGACTCAATCAATAGGCAATAGAACTTTAAATGTTTAATGCTATCCCAACCATGAACCCTAAACCCTAATCCCTAAACCCTATAAACCCTACGGTTTACCGTAGAAGCCTCAGTTCCAGAGCATCCCAACTCGCGAGACTTCAGGAAGTCCATGGCCAGAAGTTGGCCTACGCGCGCACCTTCATAGATGGGAAACGGTTCCAGCCCTCAACCCTAAATCCTAAACCCTAAACCCAATTATCCTGCTTCTCTGACGGTTTCGGGTTTGGCGTTTGGGGTTTGGCCCGTAAAAACCACACCCTCTGGCACTTCGACCCCCAAGGTGGATGCGGTACGAGGCCCCTTTTAAGGTCGAAGTCCAAGTTTCTTCCTTCGGGGTTACCAGGGTTCGGGGTTCAGGGTTCAGGGTTCAGGGTTTAGGGTTTAGGGTTTAGGTTTTGGGAGCACCCTGAAACGAAAAACCCTAAACCCTTATAAGTATCGACCTTGTGGAGACATGGAACCTGTTTGGGGGCGAGGGGGGCCTGGAACAAGGAGGGACCCCCTTACTATGCTAGCTGTAGTTAAGGGACTTATATCCTGAGTTAGGATCCTTATATCCCAATTTAGGGTCCTTCTCACTGTACTTATAGCTAGGGGGGGCCTCCTGTAACCCTAAACCCTAAACCCCAAAACTCTAAACCCTAGACCCTAGACCCTAAACCCCAACTAGGGGGGGGGCCACTCCTTGAAGGACTTAGCCGCGCTCCTCCGCATCACCAAGACAGCGATCCTCCCCCGCGATCGAGACAAAGTGCCAGGGCCTTGCTGTCCTGTGCACTAAACAACGGGATTAGGGTTTAGGGATTAGGGACTTAAGGTTTAGGGTTTAGGGATTTAGGGTTTAGGGTTTACGGTTTTCGTTTTGGGGTTTGGGGTTTGGGGTTTAGGGTACTTGGAGGTTCATGGTACTTATTAAACAATTTTAGTTGTACTTATCACTGTACGTATAACAATCTTTCCAGGGGGTCTTGCGACGTACCATCTTGACTTAGAAACCGTACCATCATGAGTCTTTCTACGTGACAGGAACTAGCAATATTGGGGCACCTAAGGGGCTTAGAAGTGCAGATACAATTGGTTAGTAAGTACCAACCTCCAAGTAAGGTTTGCGGTTTGGGGTTTGGGGTTGGGGCCAGACACCCTAAATCTTTACCGTTGAAGGTGGAGGCTTTATTTGAGCCTACATCCCTGAGCCCGACGCTCTGTAATCAACAGCTCCTTGAAATTTTAGGGTTTAGGGTCGGGTTTAGGGTTTATAGGGTTTAGGGTTTATAGGGTTTAGGGTTTATAGGGTTTAGGGTTTCGGGTTTTGGGATTAGGGTTTAGGGTTTAGGGTTTAGGCCGTGAACCTTTAAGATCCCACGAACCTTCAAGTACAGACTTCAGGACTTAGCGGCCCTACCTGACCTCCATCTCAAACCCTCACCCCTAAACCCCAAACCCCTGAACCCTAAACCCCCAAACCCCAAACTGCAAACCCAAACCCATAAACCCTAAACCCCTGAACCCTAAACCCTAAACCCTAAACCCCTAAACCCCGAACCCTAAACCCTAAACCCCCAAACCCCAAACTGCAAACCCAAACCCCTAAACCCTAAACCCTAAACCCCCAAACCCCAAACCCTAAACCCCCAAACCCCAAACCCAAAACCCCTAAACCCTACACCCTAAACCCCTACCCCCCTAAACCCTAAACCCTAAACCCTAAACCCTAAACCCTAAACCCTAAACCCCCAAACCCCAATCCCTAAACCCTAAACCCTAAACCCTAAACCCTACACCCTAAACCCTAAACCCTAAACCGCCCCAGTTCTCAGCTGATTTCGCCGCGCGGCGCACGGCCACTACGCAATGGACTCAGCCTGCGGCGAGCAGGCCAGGAGGTGGTTTCCAGGAACCAGCAGTCCCTCAGAACCTGAACCTAGGGTTTAGGGTTTAGGGTTTAGGGTTTAGGGTTTAGGGCTTAGCGTTTAGGGCTTAGCGTTTAGGGGTTTAGGGGTTTAGGGGTTTAGGGTTTATAACTGTATTCGAACTGTACTTATAACCATATTAGGGCCCCTAAGGGGCTTGCAAGTGTGTGATGAGTACATATACAGTTGGTTAACAAGTACCATGAACCTCCAAGTATGGGTCCATGTACCTCATACAAAGCCCCTCAGGCCCTAAAACCCCTCAGGTCGAAAAAGAGTTCCCTGAGCCCTGAAGGCCCTGTAATTTAAAAGTTGGTGTCCTTCAGGGTTTAGGGTTTAGGGTTTAGGGTTTAGGGTTTAGGGTTTAGGGTTTAGGGTTTAGGGTTTAGCGTCGGCGTCCTTAAGGCTTCGAGAAACCTAAATATTCATCGCAGCAACAGACTCGGCGCCAGCAGTGCAGATAGCTGGCAGCAAAGATGAAACGGCATTGTTTGATTTGGCATGGAGGAGGCCGCCGCTGAATTTTGACCTGACATGGACCAGACCACTGTCAAAGAAGAGTGGTCTCAAACCCTTGGAAGAGGAATGGCCGGAGGCCTCGCGGCACGATGCCATTCCCTGGACGTTCCGGGGTACGCAAGCTCTGAGAACCCGCATCCCAGGCAAGACGAACGGGCTGAAGGGTTTATCAAGGGTTTATCCAGGTTCCCAAGTATGGACCCTGAATTTGGGTACCTTGTTATATAACCCTAATATGCATCATGAGGCCGAATGAGGCCCCATACCTCGAATCCCTAAGGGACCATACTCTGGGCCCCTGGTTCCGACCTTCGAGTATAGGATATGGGTTTAGGGTTTAGGGTTTAGGGTTTAGGGTTTAGGGTTTAGGGTTTAGGGTTTAGGGTTTAGGGTTTAGGGTTCTTGAAACGCCATGGGCTGTGATGGGATGTCCTGCGTTGCAATCTGAGGTGGCGAAGCCTCAGCTCGTGTGCCATCTTGTAAGTCAATGTGCGCACGAACACCCTTTAAACCCTAAACCCTAAACCCTAAACCCTAAACCCTAAACCCGTATGGGTTGTTCCCGATGAGTGAGAATGTGATGTTGCTTTTGGGCCCTGACGACCTTTGAACCTACTCCCTAAACTTTCTCAACCCGAAACCTTGATCCTCCAATTCCTCAGCCCGCCTAGTCTCACGCCCGACGCCTTCCCAGGAACTTCAAATAACTCGAACTCTACAACCCCAAACCGGGTTTAGGGTTAACTGTTTCGGGGTTTAGTGTTTAGGGGTTAGGGCTTCGGGGCTGTTGCACCCAACGCCCTATAGACCCTAAGCCTAAACCCTAAACCCTAAACACTAAACTCTAAACCCTAAACCCTAAACCCTAAACCCTAAACCCTAAACCCTAAAACCTAAGCAGGCTTGCGCTGCGGAGATGTGCTCATCGCCCCGCTGAAGCGCGTTCCGGCGCCGCGGGTCTATCCACGAAGGGTTTAGGGTTTAGGGTTTAGGGTTTAGGGTTTAGGGTTTAGGGTTTTTGGAGTAAACCCGAACTCCCCCGCCATGCCCTCAACCCCACGCCTTAACCTTTAACCCCTAAACCCGAAGAACACAACCCCATATACACCCCAACAAAACCAAACCCTAAATCCTACGCACCCAACCCCTGAACCGCAAGAAACACCAAACCTTAAATCCTACACCCCAAACCCTAAACCCCAAACCCTAAACCCTAACCCCAAGCCTAAACCCTAAACCCCAAACCCCAAAACCTAGATCCCAAACCCCAAACCCAAACCCCAAACCCCAAACCCTATTCCGCCCCCCAAAGGTTACTTGGAGGTTCATGACACTAACCAACTATAACTGTACTGATAACTGTACTTATAACCATATTAGGGCACTTAAGGGGCAGTTATAAGTACCGTTATAGTAGACCTTAACCCTACAGCAGACCCAAACCCTAAACCCTATGCGGAGCTGCAACTGGTATTGTAGAAAAGAGTTAGTGTTGAGAGTTGAAAGGGTTAATGAACCCGGAAAACATGCTTGGCTCAAGATGGCCGAGAGCCGTCAGCTTTTGTTGAAAAAGTACGTACGCTTGGGGTTGGGTTTAACGGGTTGGAGTAGTCCCGTCCCTTCTTATCTTGTCCCCTTAGGGCTGGGTGTTCTTGTTTCTGGTTCGATCTGGGAAATCTATATAGGCGACTGTTGTGGGTTGGTTTCTTTTCCTGTCCCCTTTCGGTTGCCCCCGTAGGTTATGAGCCCAAATTAGGTTCCCTGCGGTTTGTGTTTCGGCTTTAGGGTGGAAGTTTGAAGCCATGGCGACCAACTGGTTACGGACTGGTGCGGCATCATCGAGCTCCAATGTGGGCGACCAAGGTGAAGGTGGTGTCAAAAGGTCTGCAACGGGTGAAAAAGTTGTTCCCAATGTGGAAGCTCTGGTTGATGTTGGTGGTATGCGTGGCGAAGAGAAGCCGGTGGTGGAAGGACTGGAAGACCAGATGGAAGTAGTTTTGCTGCGCCTTCTGAGCAAACATGGGCATCTTCTTCGAGCTGCGGAATCTGCTGAATCAACGGGAGCGCCAACAACAAGCTCCTCTACGTCAAAGATGGTGGAGCAAGGGTGCCAGACAGAACTGGTTGGGGATGTTATCCCTGTTTCCAAGCGAGCTCGCAACAAAGTGAGTTTCGCGGCTGAAAGTGGTGATCTGTTGACAGGTGAAGCGGAAGAAACTGCGCCTGTTGCTGCGACAAAAAGCAGTATCCTCGTCGTTGGGGACGCAGAAGGAGTTGTTCCTGTTGCTATGGTGATGAGTGAAGGAGAAATCCTGGAATTGGAGGCAGCAAGAATACAGCAAGAGTCAGATGAAGACTTATACGCTGATGGTGGAGGCAAAGTGTCTCAAGCTGCTGACCTTCCAATCATCGACTGCGATGGGAAGACATGGGAACGCCGTTTTCATGATGATGGGAGAGAATATCTTTACTGTTTAGACACTGGAGATACCCAATGGGTGGTGCCTAAGAAGACTGGAATGGCTGGAAACAGCGAGGGGCCAGGTGTTGGAATGGGCATTGTCCCTGTGGATGACGAGCCAGCGCTGGGTGCTACCTCGTCCTCGTCACCTACTGAGTCTTCTAGGGCACAACAGGGTAGCATGGAAAGTGTCAACAGTGGTGTAAATAGTGTAGGTGAAAAAGATTTTTCCTCTACTATCAGGGATAGCGGTCCTAGGGCTGGTGGTGACGCCCCGACCTCGGGTTCTCCTGATGAAGAGGGGATTTCTGGAAACCGAGCAGACATCGCTGAAGCTCAACATCTGGATCGGGAAGAGATGGAGGCGCTTTCTGAGGGTGTGGCAGCGGTGGAATCGGTGGGTCCAGAAGAAAAAATGCCCAATGTGGAGATCGGAATTGTGTCGGCTGCAGAAGAGCGAGTGGTGGATGTGGTGCCTGTCGTTCAGGAAGATGGCCCTGGAGATTTGGATGACGAAGGGAAAAAGTTGTGCATTACGACTGAGGAGGTCTCTTCGTTTGGTGCCGAGAATTCTGCCATTCAAAGGGAAAAGGAAACTTCTGAAACTGCTGGAGACACGGTTGATCGGAAAGATGAGGCCTGGAGCGCCAATGAAGCGCGGGTCAACGCGCCAGATAGTACCTGGAGTGCAGGAAAAGCACGGGTTGAGGCGCATATGGTGTCACGTTCCGCGAGGTGGACGCACTGGTGCAACCTGAAGTTAGCAGCGAGGAACGAAATGACAAGGGCTACACCGGAGCCAATGAGGCAGCTGTGGTCAATGATGGTGGAAATTCTCCTTTGGAGGCCATGGAACCAAAGGAGCCTGCGGCGGAAGAAAGCGTGCCTGCCGTGGATGATCGACTCAATTGCCCTGCAGTGGAAGAGGATTTGCCTGCTGCAGAAGGTGAGACAAAGGACTCCAATGATGGGTCCACTCCCATGAAGGGAGAAGCGTTGCCGTCTGGAAGTTCACCGGAAGTCGACACCGAGCGAACTGTAACGGATGAGGCAAAGCCATTGGCTGGAAAAAAGGAAGATCCTGAAATCCAGGAGCACAAAAAAGATGAGCTTGTGGGACTCGTGGAGCAGGACGAGCAGTGTGACCCAAAGGTGAAGACAAAGGATGCGCCAGGAGCCGATGATACAGAGATGGTTTCTGAAGAGCATGCAAAGAAAGTGCCCCGAGCGGGAGCCTTGGAATCACCTGGGACACATTGCTATCAAGAGGGAGATGAGATCATGGGTCTAGTGCGCTGCATCAATGGGTATGGAGCCTTTTTGGACCATGGTGATATAAATGTATTGGTTCCTGCAGAAGGGAACAATGTACATCAGTTCAAATTTGGTGACACTGTCAATGGAACAGTGAAACGAGTGGAAGATGATGGTACCATAATCTTGGACACCTTTCTGGTTTTGGAAGAGGATGAGGAGGATTCCTCTTCAACGCTGCGCAAATGGAAGGACAGCGGCTGGGGTACATGGTGGACAGGCTCATGGCAGACTGGTCAATGGTACAAAGGTTCCGATGGTCAATGGGACTGGAAGTCGGAAGAACAGCAGTCTCGTGAGTGGTTTGCCGAGTCAAAAGCATCCTCTAAGGAACAAGAGGAGGCTGAGCAGAAACAGCTCTATGGAGAAAAAATCTGTCGAAATCTCCTGGAAGATGAAACAATAGATAATGACTATGTGGGCAAAATCACTGGGATGTTGCTGAGTCGTCCAATGGACGTGATTGTGGAGTGTATCGCAGATCATGCATTCCTGAATATTGAGGCTCGGAGCGCATACAACATCTTGCTAAGTGATGATTGGAAGCCTGAGGAGACGGAACGTGCAGGTGTGGAAGAAACAACCACTTTTTCCCGGAAACAGTACCACAACGCGCTCTACGAACTGGCACGCAAGAAAAGAAGATTTAGTGGACCAGTCGTGGGTGAAGCGGTGGCAATTTTGCTGAGCAAAGGGAAAGATGAGCTTTGGAACGAGCTGTGGTTCGACACCAAGCGATTTCTGCAAGAGCTTGATGGTGCAATCGAGGAGATGAGTAAGAGGGAAAACAGGCCAATAGAAGCCTATATGGATCCCGATCAGTACAAAAAGGCTCACACGACTCCGAAGACTGTGTCACCTGGATACAGCAAGCTGTGCAAGTTCTTCAATCAAGGGAGGTGTCGAAATGGAGATGGGTGTTCCTATGAACATCGTCGCTACGGTGAAGGGTGGCCTGAAGGAGAGCCAACTGAGCCAAAGAACAGCCAAAAAACTGGTGACGAGGATGGGGACATCGGTGGCCCTCCAACTGATGAAGGTACAGTGGATGAGGTGCAGCAGGAGCGGGAGGATTCGGCCTTCCGTGCCCAGTACAACTATGGCAAAGGGACATCAAAAGGTGAGCCTACGCTGGGTGAAATGAAGAAACGGCTGTGTCTGTATTACAATCAAAGTGGTTGTAAATATGGGACTGCGTGCAGGTATCTCCACGACGATGACATGGCATTGGAAGGGACTTGGGAGCCTGGCAAATCTTGGGACAATGCTTCCAGGAAGGCACTGAGGGACGCGGGGTTCCACCATTGCTGTTTCGACTACTATCTCAAAGGGAGATGTCGTGTGCGATTTGGCTGCAAGTATTCTCACGAAGAGATGTCTGAGGACCGGCTGACCCAGTTGAAGCATTTGGTGAATGTGGCAAACCATGTGGCCTTTCAAAGGGGAAGGGGATTGGAGATTCCCGACAGGAACGCTTTTCAACCACCGGTAAGTGGGGGAGCAGAATCTTCGTCCTCCTCAGCACCAAAAGCGCTGCAAATGACCAATGTGTCACAAAAAGATGGTGAAAAGGGTATTCTGGATGAAGAAGAAGCTGATGAGCAAAAGAATTCGGTGGCTGCATCCACTAGTACGCAGCTTCACAATCCAGAGGAGCCAATTGAAAATTGGATGGCTCGCAACGAACACCTGTGGGTGTATACCCCTCATGTAAGTGAGGTGATGATGACCCTTGGTGTGACCAATGTGTCGGACTTGCAAGAGTTCATCTTTGTGGAAGATTTGGTTGACAAAGGGATCAACAAGGTGACCGCATGCAAAATTCTACAATTGGTGGGTGAGGTCCGATATCGACCGGGAGGACCGGAAAAGGCAGTTCCTTCTGATGCATCTGTACGGGTACAACAATCTTCTGGGAACAAAGGGACTGGAAGAGCGGCGGTGCGAACCCTCACTCAGGTGCGTGAAGCTGAAGGCTCCGGTGCAAAAACGATGCCGAGAGGCTCCTATCGGGAGCTTTTTGATAAGGTCAAGTACCGTGATGCTTGGACGCTTGCGCAGAGGTCTCCACTGTGCGTACAGAAGCTGAAGTTGGTGGGAGTTGGAATGCCACCGGTGAACCCACCAACAAAAAAGTATCGGTCAATATCAAACCCTGTGAAAAGGGGAAGGCCCTTGCTGGACAAAAAACAGGTGCGACAGGTGCCACGCTCTCGCTCACAGCGACGAGCGCAACCGGCGGAAGTGGTGGAGAAACCAAAACCACTGGAACTGAAGCCTCGTGGTGGGTTGTCGTATCGGTTCAGCAGAGCGTGGGCAGATGTGGTGGACGATGATGATCAGGCGGAGGCTTTGGTTTCTTATGCCGCTTCCTCAAGCGATTCAAGCGAGGAAGAGACCAATGCTGTGCACCGCATGCGGGAAATCCTTTTGCAAGAAAGGGATTCACAGAGAACTGCGATTCGTGGCAATGTTCCGATGGGTGGTTCTTCCGGCCCCAATGACGGGCAGAAAAAATCGGTTCACCTTGGCAAAGAACGCGACAAAGCGTCGCGGGGGGAGACCCGCCAAGAAGTGACTTCTCAAGTTTTTTCGCTACCACAACCTTCTCGTCGAACTGAACAGTCTCAAAAAAGAGCAAGGGATGGCTCAGTTATAGTTGGTTCGCTGGCGGTGGGCTCCACGGATGAGGTTTTACCTGGGCAAGGTGTTGCTGGACAGGTGAATGTATCTGAAGGCGCTCAAGTTCTTCCTGGGCAAGAAGTGGCTGGACAGGAGACGGCGCTGGAAGGAGCAGTGCAAATTCCTGGCGAGGAGACTGACCAAAACGAAGGAGAAGGTGGGAGCAATGAACTCCATGGTGATGGTGCGAAGACATTGGATGTTCGTCCGGTGAAGAATGTTCCTCAGCAATTGCTGGTTAAAGGTCTTCTGAATCGGATTTATTGGAAGGTTGCAGTTGGCAAGTTGCCGGTGGGGCAAAGAGACTGCCAAAAAGGGTCCAATAAGATGGATCGAAATTTGGTTATTAGCATGTCATCCGAAGGTGCAAGCGAACAGGATGAGAACCTGGCACTGGAGGACGATGCTGATCAGTCAATGGGTGACGGTGCGATGGTAGTTCTGGTGTATGATCCAAGGACGCTGATTCAGTCGCCTACAACTGATTGGGTTATGCGTCGTGGTCTGACCGATCGTTCCGTCTGGCCAGCAATGGCGTACACAGCACAGAGAATATGTGCTGAAATGGTTCAAGTGGATGAACTGAATGCCCAGTTGAATACTGGGAGACTCCTTTTTGAAAGGAGAGATCAAGGATATTATTGTGATTTGCATCATTCGTTCCATGACAATCCGTGCTTGCCGGTGGTGGGAAATTATCCTCTTTCGGTGATGGGTGCACTGCTTTCTCCTGGCCTGGAAAAGGAATTCAGAAATACTGAAAAGTTTGGAACTGCTATGGAGGCAATAGCCTATGATTGGAGTCGCAGTCCAGGCATGGAAGTTCATGTGGAACTTATGGCAAGGGTAGCCAATCTGGTCGCTCCATTCCTTAGACTTGGAGGCCAAGGGACAGTGGTGAATTCCGAGTTTCTCTGGCAGCACGGGAGGGATCAAATGATGGAGTTCCTTCAGGCGGCGACCTGCGCTGATCAATTGGAAGTTCTCTGGAAAAGAATGGACGACGATGCTGATGAGGAAGTGGATCCTACAGGAATGGTGCTGGAGATCCCCGATCAACAAGATGCGGTACTAGATCAAGGGAACAATGAATCCCTTATTCCCATTGAAGATGCTGGAGGTGAGACACTTGGTGACACTGGAAGGGATGGCAAAGCGCCAGAAGTCTCTCCAGAAGAGGAGACATCCAGTGGGTCGTCAAGACTGGCGGGCACAAGGATTTTCTTGTGGTCAGTGTACTCTCGCGTTGCTTCCAATTTCTCTACGCAGGACCGCACTACTGGGAAGATCTTTGACAGCACAAAGGGGTATCCTGGTGAAGGACCAAACAATGGTGACAATCCTTCCTCTAAGAGGAACTTACCCTGGATCTCTGAAGACTACCTCGACGAAGTGGTGTCAAAAAAGATGGAAAGGTCTTCAGATATGGATGGGCTGGAGGGGTTTGTTCCGGGAAGTGAGGGATCGTTGGAAAAGGTAGAGGTGGAGAATGTTACTGCCTCTAAAATTCTTATGGCTCTTTGGAAAAAGGGATATAGAGCTGGGTATAGGAGGTTGTGTCGTTTGAACGTATCTGGATGCAAGGTTGGAACCGTGAAGCGTCCAATCAAAAGGGTGCAGAAGATCGGCACTAGGAAAGCCTTCATGAAGAAGTTCAATGTTTTTGGATCGTCTCAGCGTGGCTCAGGAGCTGGCGGAAAACCAATCATGAAGGTGGTAGGACCAAGGCCAGGTTTTCCAGCTGTACTCCAAGCATCAAATACTGATAGCACCTGGGGTGAAGGGAGCAGTTCTCAGGCACATGGCAATGTTCATGTAGAGCAGAATCGCCCTATGGACCGGTTCGAGGCGGAGCGCTTGGAGAAGAGGAAGAAAGGCTTCTGCTATTGGTTCAGTAAGGGAAAAGATCGCTGCAAATTTGGTGAAGACTGCAAATTCATCCATTCAGAAGATGATGTGGTGCTGCATTCGTATTGGTGCAAATACTACGTGGCGGGGAGACCCTGTTTCGCTGGAAAGACGTGTGCGTTCTCGCATAATGCAACTGGTGTGAGGTGCATTCAGTTTGCTCAGTCTGGGAAGTGTCGTTATGGTGACAGGTGTGTTTTTGAGCATGGTGATCCGCTGAATGAACAGAGGCCAAGGTCTCCGAGGACGCCCCCAAGGGATGGTCCAAGGAGAAGTTCTGGTGCCAAAGGTGGGGAAGAGGAGATCTCTCCTGAACAGTTCGATGATGGTGAGGAGTATTCCATGACCTATGACGATGACACCAAAATGTCGGAACTGTTGATGGAAGCGATTTCATTTCTGTCGAATGGCAAAACAGATTTGGCCCGAGCAGAGGCGGACCCACTGTTCAAACTCCTGAAGTTCAAGGGAGATGCTGACCAGATGGATAGAGAATGGGTATCGTGGACCGACGATATGTTGTCCGTGCTGGAACTTCACGAAGTAGTGAAGTCGTATGAGGTTTCGCTCGAGGAGGTGGAAGAATGGGTCAATGACCTGAGGATATGGTTCGAGCGAGCCAACGTGGAAGAAGAAAAAGATCCCAAAAGGGGCAAGAAGAGGTCCCTAGAAAGGGAGTCCAGCAAAGATATTCCTGCCGAAAAGGAGGTGGTTGAGACTTCTGAGACGGAGGTTGTCGTTGAGGAGGAGGCAAAAAAGGTTAAAAAGAAGAGGAAAACTGCAGTTATCGAAGATCCTTACACTCTCCTGGTTCCAAAACCTAAGAAGATGCCGGCGACCATTGAGAAGAGTGGATCATCATCCAATGCGGCGGTTTCTGCAGGGGAAAAAGCCTCGAAAATGCGCACAAAGTTAAACGTCGGTGGAAAGGCGAAGAAGAAGGAGAAAAGTCAGAGTCCCAAAAAGGGAGAAGTGGTGGTGGTGAAAGGTCCTGAGGAAAAGGATCGTCCTCCTGATGTGGATGCGCAAGCGTCTACAGCTGTGAGTGCAGAGCTGGGTCAATCTTGCCAAGCGATTGAGGACGCAAAAAGAGAAGGATTGGTATCCTCAATTCAAAGGGGCGTACAGGATCCTGTTCTTGCAGTTTCGGACCTGGAGTATATTCTGCTGCAACTTCACCTCAAGATTGCCAACAATCGGAAAAAGAAGTGATTGGATGGTATGGATGAAGGGATGGTTTTTCTCTTTCTGGAGACAGGTGCGCTGGAACAGCCAATGTGCTGACAAATGTGGTGGTTACTATTAAGGGTATGGAAATCCCTGATAGTAGAAGTCAGTAGCTTTTCGCGTAGCGAAGACCACGGTTTGTGGTGAAGAAGGCCAAGGAGTCTTCAGTGATGAGAGGATCATGGTGAAAAAAGATTCTCTATGGTTAGTGGATTTAGCCAATGTGCTATAATTTCGTCCTGGTAGACGTAAAACCATATTGTGCATTTCAAGCAGCTGGCTGCTGCCCTAATGGCAGTTTTTGGCCAAAGATCTGCACCTCCAATGTGTCCTAGGAAATCCTAGGACAGGGGGAGTGCGGAGCTGCAACTGGTATTGTAGAAAAGAGTTAGTGTTGAGAGTTGAAAGGGTTAATGAACCCGGAAAACATGCTTGGCTCAAGATGGCCGAGAGCCGTCAGCTTTTGTTGAAAAAGTACGTACGCTTGGGGTTGGGTTTAACGGGTTGGAGTAGTCCCGTCCCTTCTCCCTTATCTTGTCCCCTTAGGGCTGGGTGTTCTTGTTTCTGGTTCGATCTGGGAAATCTATATAGGCGACTGTTGTGGGTTGGTTTCTTTTCCTGTCCCCTTTCGGTTGCCCCCGTACCCTAAACCCTATACCTTAAACCCTAAACCCTCCTAAACCTCATTCAGCCCCCCCAAGTGTCAGGAGTTGGCCACCACGGAGACCGCGTTCGCAGCCCTGGGCGCGCTGGGCGCCGTGGCGACCTGGGGGCGTTCTCCGAATCCAGGAGAGGGGTTTAGGGTTTAGGGTTTGGGGTTTGGGGTTTAGGGTTTGGGGTTTGGGGTTTGGGGTGTGGGGTTTAGGGTTTGGGGTTTGAGGTTTGGGGTTTGGGGTTTGGGGTTTAGGTTACGGTTTAGGGTTTGGGGTTTGAGGTTTGGGGTTTGGGGTTTAGGTTACGGTTTAGGGTCTCGGGTTTGGGGTTTCGGGTTTGGGGTTTGGGGTTTACGGTTTAGGGTTTAGGGTTTGGGGTTTAGGTTAGGGTTTAGGGTTTAGGGTTTGGGGTTAGGGCTTGGGGGTTACGGGTTTGGGGTTTAGGGTTGAGGGTGTAGGGTTGAGGGTTTAGGGTTTGGGGTTTACGGTTTAGGGTTTGGGGTTTGGGTTTAGGGTTTTGGGTTTTGGGCTTAGGGCTTGGGGTTTTGCGGTTTTGGGGTTTAGGGTTTGGGGTTTAGGTTTTAGGGTGTTGGAGTTTTATGGTTTAGGGTTTTTTGTGGAAGTTTGGGGTGTCAGGTTTGTTGGGTTTTGAGGTGTAAGGGTCTGGGTTTGGGGCTGAATAGGGTTTAAGGGTTTAGGGTGTAGGGCTTAGGGCTTGAAAGGTTTGAGGTTGTGCGGGAATTCGGCCAGGGCTTGATTGTGGTTGAAAAGGTTGAGGGTTTAGGGTTTAGGACTTAGGCTTTGGGGTTTAGGGTTTAGGGTTTAGGGTTTAGGGTTGTTTCAGGAAACCCTATGCACCCTCAACCCTCAACCCTCAACCCTAAACCCTAAACCCCAAACCCTAAACCCTAAACCCTAAACCCTAAACCCTAAACCCTAAACCCTAAACCCTAAACCCTAAACCCTAAACCCTAAACCCTAAACCCTCAACCCAACGCCAGCCGAAGGAGACGACTTGGTCGATGGCGGCGCAGAACTGAGGCAATCCCTTGGAGAGCTGGTTGAGTTGCTGCGTGGGTTTAGGGTTTAGGGTTTAGGGTTTAGGGTTTAGGGTGTAGGGTTTAGGGTTTAGGGTTTAGGGGGAGTTTCCGAAATTAGGGGTACCTTATTGGCGTCCTTATTATAAGGG